TATGAATATGCAAATTTAGCATCTTGCCAAAGTTAAATTGAATATCTAAATAATTTTATTAAAAATTGTTGAATATTGGTTGGTCTACACATATCTGTAATCATTGGCTCAGGGGACACAGGAAAGGCACTTGGTATGGGGATGTTGTTTACAGGTGCTTTAAGTTTTCTTAGGAACCTATGGTTCTGCAGGGTTATTCTACCTGATCCTGCAACTCTAATCCGATATTGAGAGTTGGGAAGCGTCTCTACTATTCGCTCGGTTATGTCCCATCGATGGCTATTTGGGTTTTGAATGGAGACTGTCGCCCTTATGAAGTGGGGATAGGGTATGTGCAGTATGATTGTACCTCTCGATGAGGCCTGCATTGTGTTTGGATAATGTCTTTTCATGCCTTTGGGCTGCGGCTATCCACTCAGTGTGGTTTATATAAGTGTGTGTGCGATGGGATAAAATTCCGAAGACATCTATGAAGCAGGAATTGCGCTGGTGATAGGCCAATGCCTTGGATAGGGGTGTTTCTATATTACAGGATTGCTTGTGTTGCCATGAGACTTTAGGGTTCTTTACTCTCCCTAAAAAGACTCAAGTCACTTACCCAAAAGCTGAAGAAAATTTCAAAGATATATTTTTTTCTCCAAAATGAAGTTATATAAATATAACAGAGTAACAGTGATACCAAAGAAATTTGACACAACCTTGTCCTGGGTATGATTATAAACTACATCTGGCAGCAAGAGATTGGAGATTTTGAGGAGCATGGAAGCACCTCTTAATTGCCGCTGTTCCTAGGTCCACACTGATCTGGGCTGGTAGCATCTGTTAGGGTCCTAGCTTTGGGCAAATAGTGAACCCCCAAACAAAAATCAACAGTACATTTTTATAGTAAAATGACTGACAATATATTTTGTGATCTACAAAATATCTCTAAAAAGCATAGCTTTACTGTGAAAGTATAAAATTATGTACAAACTATTTAGATTTTGGCATTAAGTAACCCATACAGGTAGATATGCTGCTAAACAAAATCAGCCAACCAACACGAAAGAGCTCTTTCATGACATTATTCCATATAATATCCTACAATTTCTTAAAGAAATCAAACTGTAACAAAGCTACAACATAAAATACACATATCATTACCTGTAGTAATCATATCTACACAAACATGTATATGTACAAAAGCTGAGTATCATCTACCATGTATTCAATTGTGAAAGCAAAATAACATATATCATTTGTGTTACTTCAAAACCCCCAAGAAAATTAAATTTCAGCATTAAATGACCCATAAGTAGTTGATATGCTGTTAAACAAATCAATCAATTATTTGACACAGCCAGTGATAAGTGATGTGAACTTATATTGGGATTGAGGGCAGGTTAGGAGAACACTAAAGGAGTTGTCAATTACATCTGAATCAAGAGTAGGATACCTTGACAAAAATGAACTAATTAAAAATTAGTTACAAAAAATGAAATTGGTTGGGAATGGAGGGAAAGCTATGCTAAAGTTCGAACCAGTGGATAACAGTTAAATTCACAAGTAATTTCACTTTTTGGTTAATAGGGTAGAGAGCCTGAATAACTTCAACTTTGTCACTCAGCTATCTGAGGGTCAAAAATCATATTTATTTAAATACTTTTCTTTGCCCCAAAACTCACAAGAGATATTGATAGCAAGAGGGGCAGAGGGAAACTACAAATCACCTAATGAACTTGTGTAAATAGATGGTGGAACAGGGAAATTTTTTTTTTTTTTTTTTTTTTTTTACAGAGAGGTTCACCCTGTACAAAGCCTGGTGGTAGGGGGTGGGGGGCACTTGAGGTAGAGGGTTACAGAGTAAGAGGCAGTTTATATGGATAGGAGAAGATAATGCTTAACCTTAGACTTGAACAGGTTAAGATCGTAGTGATCAAGGAAACATCTTCTTGGGAGTTGGTTCCACAGAGCAGTGGTTCATGGGAAGAAGCTGTTTGTGGAACTTCTCACCAATGAAACATGCAGAAATTGAGGGTAGTTAGTGAGTGACATGGCAGGTTCTAGCTGTGAAGGTTAGAACTGGTGGAAACAAGGAATGCAGTTCATCCAAGCACTTTCCATGAAAGTAGCAACAGAACAGTGAAGACATGCCACATCCCGTCTGTGAGAGGTTGGAAGGTGGAAAATGATAAGGACTTGGAGACATTAAGGACTTGGAGACATTTTTGGACTGGAAAGTAAGGACTAGGCAGCTCCTGCCCAAATATGACAAGGATAGAAAAAAAAAAAAAAATTGACTAGGAAGTTGTGGAGAGCCATGATCACTGATGTCTTGAAGAGACACAGGATATAGAAGAGATTCCCCCCAAATCATTATTTCCCTATGAAAAACTTTTCCAGAGAATTTCACAAGCAAAACTCTTGGCTGTCAACAAATAGGCAACTGGTTTTTGAGCAATGAGCATACCCAAGGCCAACAAAATTTATGAGTAATTTCACATTATGTTGTTCACATCTGCTGGATCAGCAATTTAAGAGAGTGTTGACAAGAGTAACTGAAGTGCTGTCAAGGGAAGATTGTAGTCCTACTGTAACTACCATCTATAGTCATGATAAATTCCTGAATGAATAAAGATGTGTTAAAAAATAAAATAAAAAAAGACAAGCATGCACAATACTTGTTCAGTATTAAAGAATTTAAAGCAGGCATAATGGCTCTCCCATCCCCATGTTCTGTGACAGATGAGTTTTTTAGAACTGTTAAAATTTAATCCTAGGTATGATAATAAACTACATCTGGCAGCAAGATTTGGAGACTGGAGGTTTTGAGGAGCATGGAAGCACCTTTTAATTGCTGTTGTTCCCAGACCCACTTTGCACTATTTGACCCTAAACAAAAATAAAATATTATGTAAGTATAAAAAATGCATTTTTATAGTGAAAATACCAGTAATACATCTTTATATAAAAAAAAATTACTAACAATACCTACTTATATTAAAATTACCAATAATAGATTTTTATAGTAAAATGATCAACAATGCATTTTTAAAGCAGAATGACCAGCAGTACATTTTATCTAGTTGAAGGCATTCAAAATATTTAGATTTCAGCATTAAATAACCCACAGATTGATATGCCACTAAACAAAATCAAACTGTTAGAATTATATTTGGTTGCATCAACCCTTCATGAGACAACTTCACCTCATACAGGGCTCAAGAGGCATGAGTTTGAGGGTTACTGAATGAAGAATGTGATGTGTATATAAGGGGAGGTTTGTATGTATGTATAAAACCCATTCTAAACACATGCTTGCACCTACTGCAAAATTACAATAAGATTTAGTGTTCTAATTTTGAACTTCTGCTGCACTTTTCCCTCAAATTTAAAATGCTGAGTAAGTCATGGTTACCATTTTATTTAGCAGGATTACTGATTGTTGAAGAAATACATTTAGTGGGAGATAGTGGAGTAATGTTAGTTGATAATGGACATATTATTCATAGTATAGCATATAGGACATAGTGAAGTTTCCTTAAACTTGACACTGAAAAGGATACATAATTATGTACAATGAACAACATATTTTATTGCCTAAGCAAACTAAATAGAATACAAAAGGAGGTGAATGAAGTTCTGTATGTAGAGACAGTCTTTTTCATCTGTTCAAATTTCCCTTGAAAGATTGTAATGGACTTACAATTTAAGACAAGTTTTTTTGTCAGTTTAATAGAATTATTAGATACTAGCAGTAGAGCCCGGCGTTGCCCGGGGATGTAACAGTAAGAGATAGATCAAGTATCGACCATCATAAAGACTGAAAATAAAATTGACAAAGATTATTGTTTAAGGTTGACGGACACGCATGTCTTAATTATTTCTTTTTTTTTTTTTTTTTACGAATTGGTCAAACCCAAACTCGAACAAAAACATTGTTTTCAATCGTTATGAGTCTTCGATTGAATAGAATTTTATTATAAACAATTGTCTTGTAAATGGAATTTTTAAAGCATTCTGAATGTAAAAATAATGAAAAAAGTGTGCAAGACAATAAGAAACACTACCTGTCAAAAAAAAGTGAAGTTTTGTTGAAATAGGTTGAAAAATGTAGGAAATCCAATCCCATATATAAAGGAACACACACACACACAACCAACCTGGGTTTTATAATAAGTATAACTCGATATGAGTTGTCCCCCTTTCATTTTCGCGATGCCTCTTAATCGTGTTTTCAAATTGATTTTGCGCAAAAACAATTGTGTTTTTCCAATTTTTGGCGCTGTCAGAACCACCGCAAGGTAATTTTACGTAGTCCTGTGAAGTTTTGTTGAAATCGGTTGAAAAATGTAGGAAATCCGATCCAATATATAAACGTACAGACACACACACACACACACACACACACACACACAAACTGGGTTTTATAATAAGTATGATTCTTGTATCTAGTCAAGTAAGCTGAGAGCATTGTGTGTTGTGTACTTCTTGTCGTGTGTTCAGTATGACGTGATTTGCTGAAAAAGGAAAAGTCCCTTTCAAACAAGGCATGCCTTATGTTTAAGGTAACCTGTTGCTAAAAAAAAAAGAGGATGAAACTTTGCATCCTTTTCCTATATACTACATTTTTGCAATATGGTTGTTAGAAGTTCTTTGACAGACAATTGAGGTAATCCTGCAATTCAGTATCAAAGGTAATTTTTATGTTAAACCATGATTTTTATAAAAAATATGTAGTACTATCATTTTTCAGTAAACTTCTTAAAGTGTATGTTTAGACAAGTAATAAAGACTTGCATTAATATTAAAGACACTTTTAGGATTTCCCTATCATTGAGCCAAATTGGTATTGGGAATATTTTTGAATAAATGTTTCTAGCATGTATTGAATTTCCATTCATTTAATTGTAGGCTTTTCTTTCTTTTCAGGTTTGTCTACTCAACCAATACTTGACCTTGACTATGACCTTATTTTCTTTTGTGCAACACCTGTACAACAATTTAGATCTTTTGAATTTATGTTTTCTTTTCACTATAACATGTTTTGTAAACAAGGTAAGAAATTATGTTTTTTTAATTTGATTGTTTAGATTGTTCTAGTTCCACATGCCATGCCTTTTTTGGATATCTTGGTTTTATTTATTTCTCTTTAGTAACTCGACTCTCAAAGTTTGTTCACTTCTGCTGTGGCCAGGTATTGAACTCACAACTCTTTGGGTCAAATCACGGGATTACTTCACTAAATGCCTTTATCCACTAGTAGATGATTTACTTTTCTTTTTTAAATTTGCATAAAGCTGAATGTTGTCTGTTTACATTGCAACAATGCACAAAACAAAAAATAAATAAAACCTAAAATAAATGTAATTTTAGCTTCTAAAAATAGCATTTTTAAATTAAAAGATTTTTTTCAGTAAACAGAGATAAATAATTTTAAAAAAAAAGTTTTAATTTTTATAGATTTATATTCTATAATTTTAGGCTTAGCAATGTTAGTTACGATCTTATGCTTTTGTCATCTGTCATTTCACATTGCTACAAATTAGTCTAGCGGAGCCAATGAAACTTCATAGAATTATCTAAATAAGTCAAAATAATCTGTTTAGTTACATTTAATTACAACACTACTGAATATTTTAAACAAGGGAAAAAATAATAAGTTTTCTAAATTAATCTTTATTATTATTATTAATGCAAACATTAGAAAATTATTCAAATAAGTAATATAATGTTGTATCCCAGTCATCACTGGTTTCAGCCCATTGGACCCCAGTGCCACTTTATAGACTGTATCAACAAAAGATGTTTTCTTATTTGTTTTATTATATAAGAGGGGCAGACATAGTAGTATTGATTCTAGGAGGTAGTGGGAGAAAGAACTCCAAGGAAACACATGCCCACTTGTTGGCTTACCATATCATCATGTGCAGCCTTAGCCTGAGTATAGAATCTTCATGTGGAAAGCATGTCACTGCTTCAAAATTCTTTCAGCCCTTTGCAGACTTCACACTATTTTGGTTTTATGTCCAAAGCTTAAATAAAGGCAATCCATCACTGCCATAATTTCATGCCCACAAGATATTCTGATCAATTGCTCACCATCCTGGCCCAGCCTCTGCATTCTGTAACAATAATATCATCTGCTGAATTATTTTTAATAAAAAATTGCAGAATTAGTTAAATATATTGAATTTTAATTTAATTTTAATTAGATTTAATTGAAAAAGATATGGACATGAAGTAGAAAGATTATATTGAAACAATTGCTAGGTCTGCTGCTAGGAAAATTGGTTCACTGAATCTATCTTACACATAAGTCTATCATTCGTTCATGTGTTGAATATTGCTGTCACATCTAGTCTGGTGTTTGTTATGTATTTAGAAGTTCTTGAGAAAATCAAAAGAAGAATCTGCAATGATTGTGAGCTGACATCTCAGCTTCAGTCACTTTCCAACTGTTGTAATGTAGATTATCTCTGCCTTTTCTATAAATACTTCCATGGTAATTGTTCTGATGAACTTTTCTCTGCAGTATCAGATTGGCAGCAAGATCTCATCATTTTACAGTTGAAATGGCTAGATGTAACCGTAAGTTCTGTACTAACAGTTTCTTCTACTGCAATTGTCACTTGTGGATCTCTGTTCTGGCTTCTTACTCCCCTGTCAACTTTGATTTTCAAAAATTTAGATGCAATGTTAATCATTATCATCTGTCTTCTTAATTCCTGTTCTTTTATTGTTCTCTTTCCTTAATCTTTTTCATTTTCTTGAATTATTTTACATTTAGTAAACCCCCTCCACCCATTGTAGTGGCTTTATTGCCTTGTTTGGGGTGAAATGATTAAAACATAAAAAATAAGTAACATTTTTTCATATTTAATTGAAGAAAAAATTTAATAAGTGAAAATAGTCTGTCATAATGTTACATTGTCACAACATCACAACATTCTCTGTGACTTGAACTGATGTTTTATGAAATACAGTCATCACTTCACAATTGACTGCATTGGCTGTCTTCAGGCTAATACCCCAAAGTCGCAACTTCTTGATTTCTTGCTGAAAATAAAATGCCATCTTTTCACCAGGTAGAGGGTTTGATTTTATTGTCTCTGAGAAAATGGACTCCATTTTTCTTGGTCAATATTTTCATGCAGCCAATGGCTTTTGTAATAGGACAAGATCTATTATTAAATATATCAACATTAGTTATTTATGCTGTTATTGTTTCTGGGAATCAAAGGAAAAAAAAACAAAAAAACTTTATCTCAAGAATATACATGTCCCCAAGTGTTCATGCACTGCCATTCCAAATTGCAAAGGGGTCAATTTCCTGTTCAACTATCCTTCAGCCTTATAATCTACAAGGCTCAAGACTGAACCCTTTCAAAGTTTGGTATCTATCTTAACAAAAATGGAGGGTTCTCCTAGTCACTTGGACTTAGAGAACATCTATTGCAACTTAGTTTCCTCTGTCTGTAGGATTGGTATTTTACTTGTAAATAAAATTAATCATCTAGTACAAAGCTCAAAGCCAAACCTTGGTATCTTACCTTAAGAAAAATGAATGTTTCTCTCAGTCTCATGCTCAGGAAATTCAATTGAACTTAGAAGAATGGCAAAAGGAATTTTAGAAAATATATATCTGACTGAAAATATTAATTATACAGAAATATTATACAGGTAAGAGAGCTTTTGTTGCAACTTACTTTTGCCTGTTTGTCAGATGGTTATTTGGCTACAAATAAACACAGAAGAAACATAAAGTGTATAAAAGAAGATAGAGTAGAATTGTTGGTATATCACAGTCCCTAAAAGATTACTCTGGCTTGGTTGTTGATAAGCTCTCTCATTTTAATTCATAAAAAAAACACTTTGAATTTATATTTATCCCCTTCAACTCCCCAATTTAACCAGTTAAGGTCAGGATATTTTTTAATGTTGTGATATTAACAAAGAGTCTTAGTAGTTGCTCTAGTTAGTTGGAAATTTTTGAATAAATTGAGAGAGAGTGTGTGTGTGTGTTATCCCTCTACTCTCATTAGTGACCCGCTTGTACAACTAAAGAGTGGATTATTCTTTAAAGAAGACAAAGCAGTTGAAAATGTACCTCTAGATCAGGGGAAAATCACCAGGTTTCAGGTGTTAGTGTATGTGCTGGGGGGATCTTTTACTTTTACACAAGCTTCTTATTGACTGTAATCCTTATCAGAATAAAATTGATTAAAATAACCTTTTTATTGAATTACAATACCTTGGTATTCTCCTGGACTTTTTGTTTATTGAAATATGCTTCAGTTTATTTATTTAATAATTAGTTATGAATTAAAACAAATTACTGTACATGTATTCAAGTTTAAAAATCCATCAACATTTTGTATTGCTATAAAATTTGTAAAACTATAAAAATAATCCATAGACATTATGAATTTAAGCGCAGTAGTAGAATGGTGGCTAGGTCTCACCATTTTACAGTTGAAATGGCTTGATGTAACTGTAAGTTCTATGCTTACACATTTTTTTTCTCACACTTCTCACTTGTAGAACACTCTTCTGGCATTTTGATTTCCAATCAAGTTTGATCTTCAAAAATTTAAATGCAATGTCAATCATTATCTTCTGTCTTAATTCTTGTTCTTTTATTGTCCTCTCTCTTTAATAGTATATTTTTCTCATATTCTCTGACACTCAGTAACCACTTGCACCTTAGTGGCTCTATTGCCTTGATTGGGTTGAAATGATTAAAACAAATGTGCATGTACTAATATGGAAAATAATTAATATTTTCAATAATATATATTATTTGGAATGCTCCTTTTTTAGTTGGGCATTCTTGGAAAGGGGGTGAAATGACATTTTGGTATATGGCAAAAAGGTTGCATTGGGCAAAAAAGGCCGAGAACCACTGCTCTAGATAATGCTATTCAACTTTTAACATTTTTTCTTGTCTATATTCATCCTCAATATTGGTTTTAATATATTTGTTTTAATTTTTTTAAAGCACATTTTGATAAGTCTTTTTACCTTACCTTAGTTCCTTGATAAAATCCAAAGGAAAATCAGCAATATGATCTGGTAGCTCAACTTCAGTCACTTGCCCATCACTCTAAGGTTGCCTTTCTGCTAATTGTTCAGATGAGCTCTTTGCAATGGTACCTTTTGAATTTCAGCACAGTACTAGACTGGCATCAAAATTTCATCATTTTACAGTTGAACTGGCTAGATGTAACCATAAATTCTATGCTAACAGTTTCTTTTCTTGCACGTCTCACTTGTGGAAATCCCATGCTTTCCAGCCAACTTTAATCTGCAAAAATTTAATTGCAATGTCAATGCTATCTACTGTCCTCTTGATTACTCTTTTCTCTTCCTGCTCATCATTAATAATTCTGTTCTTAATTTTTCCACACCCTGTAACCGTTTGTGTCTTAGTGGCTTTTACTGCCTTGCATGGGGTGATACTGATTAAAAGAAAAAAAATGTCTTGATGAACTATTGATTGTAATTATTCCTCTTATTAATAGTGTATCACAAATTTGTTGTATGCAAATAAAAACTGGGGCTGAATTAATCCTTTAAAGTGGGGTTTGATGAAATATTTTGGCAATAAATTTGTTAACAAGTTTCAATTTTTAAGTTCAAGCAGCATTTTAAAGCATATAAATTATTTTGTAGTATGTGCTGTCTGTGCTGAAGTTCATGTACCCGACCATATTTCAAGGGTGAGTATCATTCTGTAAATATTTGTTCATGCTGTGTCAAATAAAACTATTCATCTATTGAGCTAGTACCTATATCTGACTTGAATGTATGTCCCCTATATGGGAAGCTTTCTTCCATGGATGTTGACATGCCCAATTCAGTCATAGAAATTTATAGCTAGAGAGAGCACAGATCTACAATCATATTATTACCTCTCTACTCCAAATTGTCAGTTTTAGCTACTTAGGAATAGACTGAAAATACTTTAATTCTGATATGGAGAATTTTCATTACTAATTTTTGGTCAAGCTGTCCTTCATCTTATTGTGGCTCTTTAATCATTCATTACTTTCCAGGTTGAAATTTATGATAAAAAGTTAAGACTATAAAGGTTTTGTAGATTTGTCTCTGACTCTAGGCTTCAGTAGTTGAATTGGTTAAGAAGCTGTCTATGAAAGACAAGCTCCAGAGTTATGTTGGAAATTATTTTTTAATTCTAACTTCCCATTAACAAGATCAGAATTTCTTTGAAAAAAAATGTGTACATGAGTAAATGTTTTAAATTAGACACAAATTGTATCAACTGCTAAGTTAGTTTCTGCTATTTAGTGTTAATGAGTAATGAACTTCAGTTAGGGCCAGATTTAGATGAAGAGAGCCTCTAGGCTATTTCAACTGTGAGGCCTCCTGCATTTTCCCCATTCTCATGACTAGAGGAAAATGGAAGTATGTTCCATTTGTGTGAATTTGATTTTGGTGGACAACTCTGTGTGACAGAGAAGACCACACACTTGGCTAGAAGCACTTCCCTTGTGGCACAAAATAGATTGAGACAGGCAAGATCTGGCAAACCTGGTTGCATCTGGCCATCAGATGCTTGGTTTCTTAAGGTTTGTCTTGGTTTCACCAGCCTGACTGCCGCTGCACTCTTCCACTGGTTTGGCTGTTGAGATTGTGTAGATCTTTGCCTGTTCTGCCATTGGGGTCTTTGGGGGTTGGTTGCATTCAGTCTGGTTCTCCTCCTAGGACTTTACTGCCATGGGTGTCCCTACAACTTCGTGTTTGGGATCACTGGGACAAGTAAGCCCTCTACTATGACAAGGAGCAACCATATATATTTTACATTGGATGTCAGAGTGAACAGTCTGTTATCAAATGTACCACTTTGACTTATTACTTTAATGACAATAATAGAAATGAACTAATAAGAAAAGAATAAAAGTAATAATATAAGAGAACATTTTTTTATTATTGTTGTTGATAAAAATAAGAAAGAAATTCACTACTAAACCAAAAAGAAGTAGACAAAACAAAACAACATTATGACTTGAAATGCTTTTCCTCTAAATTTGAAAATAGGTCCTTATCCATAAAAAAAATGTTACATTACTACAATCAATGAATAAGAAAAGGATAACAGAATAAAATTATTGGCAAATGTTAAAAATCTTTGAATGATAAGACAGGTAAAGAAATCAATGATACTGAACCAATCGTCAATGATAAACAAAATAAACATTTTTACAACTCTAAATGCATTTCCTACAATTTCAAAAATTATGTCTCATAAATGAAGAGAAATGTTATGCTTAAATATAGAATTATTCATGCCAGTATATAAGTAATTTAACATATACAATGCATTAAATGTTCCTAATATAACATTTCCTAGTGATAAGACTTTCTTAATAAAGTAAACTTGTTAAAACACTTATTTTAAAAATAAAACAAAAAAACAACTGACATATACATCGACTTATAAAAAAATATAATAAGCAATTTTAATAATATTGTAAATGCATAATAATATAACAAAATTATAATGTAATAAACAAAGAAAAATATAAAAATAAATGGATACTTGGAATAAATACTTACCTTTTCTTAAAATCTGACATCGCTTTAGTTAAGCAATGAAAAACACGTCCATTCACTCTGATATCAATGTATGTCTATATTTTTTCACATAATATAGGATGTTCCAATAACTTGGACTGATTTTAATGTGAATTAAGTTTAAGCATCTAATGATTTTTTTTCTTTTCCTTTCAGATTTAACAACTTAAGTCTTTGGCAATTTCAACCATGGAAAGGTTAACAATCAAACAATGTGTTAAAGTTTCAAGAGTGCAATTGAAAAAATTGTTTGTAAATTCAAACAAGCTGAGTCGGTGGCATATGTGAAAACACCATTGCGTGCTTGTTTATGCTGTTCAGCTGAAAACATTGCTGCAGTGCACGAGAATGTGGCCGAAAATCTATACACCTCTATTTGTCATTGCCTGCAGGAATTGAACCTCTCCACAACAATGTTAAATCATTTCCAATTGCACTCTTGGTTAGTCGATTATTTTGGCCCCCAAAATCGTGAAGTGAGTTTGAATGTCCATTTTTGTAATAGGCTTCAATAACTTTCACAGGTTGTTTGATTGTTAATCTTTCCATGTTTGAAATTGCCAAAAACTTAAGTTGTTAAATCTGAAAGAAAAAGAAAAAAACAAAAACATTAAGCGCTTAAAGTTAATTCACATTTAAAATCGGTCCAAGTTATTGGAACACCCTTTTTATATACAAATATATTAAAAGGAATGGTGAGGATGAATATGGACAAGAAAAAAATCTTTTTTTTCTTGCTTGTCTTTTATTTGTTAATCTCTTTTTGAGCTGAATATATAAATGAAACATTATCATTGGTAGGGTGGGGGATAAAACCACATTTCACTTTTTATTTTCCTGATCCTTAAAAAGCTTTGTTTTAATTCATTTGTACATATTATGTGAATATATACTCTTTTAAAATGTCCATTTTTATTTAAGCCTTCATTTATTTATTTTGTAACTGATTAAGTTGGCACAAAATTTACAGAAGATTATTTTTTTTTTTAAATAAAAATCCTTTTCTACTTTCCACAAGAAGGCTGCAGAATGAATTGGCTGAAAAGTGTCAACAACAAAAAGAAAAAGATCAATAGTTCAATGAAAGGATAATAACTCATCTCTTGATTACAAAAAGGCATTAGTTTTTTTACAGGTGTTCATATGGCAATAAACTTATTTTTTAATTTTTTTCCTTTGTCAGATGGCAGACATTGGTGGGTATGGTATTCATTCAGGCCAAGATAATGCTGGGTCATATTGATCCTATTTTAGATGGAAACAACAGGTAAGTACATTAAAAATGTCAACAAGTGGAATTTTTATTAAATATTAGCAAAACTGGTTCCCAAACTGCATGAATTTAAGTGTGTTACTAGGTTGGTATCTCGGTTCCACCCTTTCACTGTTGAAACCATTAAATGTAGCCGTCTCTTCTAATCCAATAGCTTCTTATCTCACACTTCCCATCAGTGGAACTCCCTTCTTACTTGCTTCCCTGATAGCTATGACCTTCAAATATTCAAATGTAATGTCAATCAACATCTTCTGATGCCTTGATCCTGATCCCCGTCCTTTCCTCAAACATCCTCTTTACTCCTGTTCTCACTTTCTGTAAACCCTTGTGTGCTAGTGGCACTCCCACCTTGCCTGGGGTGATATGCTTTTAAAAAAAAATAAATAAATAAATCAATTTCTCTTGATAAAAAAATTTTTCTGTAAAGTGGAACTTATATCTCACTAATGGAATATGAAGGGAATGAGGGTGGTTCGCTACAATGTTTGCAGCATGTCAAGTCTTAGCTGTGACAGAACTGTTGGAAGTAAGGGTGTAGTTTGTCTGAGCACTTTTCATGGAAATAGTGAGAGTCTTACAACATTTTGTCTGTGTGGAAAGGATTGCAAGGTGGAAGATAATTTGTCGCTCACAAGGACACAGAGATGCATTTGAACTCTACTGAGACTGAAAAGTGAAAACCGAGAAGCTCCTGCTCATATATGGCCACAGTACTCCATTTTTGGTCTGATCTGGCTCTTGTAAAGGTAGAGGATAGCATGAGGAGTCGGGTACTTACTGGAGTGGTACACGGACCTGATCCTTTTTCTAACATCTTTAGTGATGGTTCCACTTATCTTTGTTTCTAACAAAATTTTCCTATTTTTTAATACTTTGCTAAGCTTTTGGAAGGCACATTTCTGCTAAAAGCAATGATCTCCAAAAAGAAACAGTTTCTTTCAAAGATTACCTTTGAAATAGTGTATTGGCTGCTGTCAAGGCTGGCTATAGAAGTAACAGCTTTTTACTGCTACTGTCTGAACTGGCAAGGGAAAGTGGTTTACTCATCCACTTTCTTCTCTATCAACTTACCATGGCATGCCAGTAATGAAACATTTTGGCAAGATATCAGTTGATGAGGGGGGAGAACAGGGAGAAGTAGATTTATGCCTTTCTTATAGATCATTAAATCAAGACTCTCATGCATGGTCAATCAGTCAGTTATGTGCCATGCATGAAACACGCTTAGGCAATCATTTGATACACAACTGCCATTTCTTTCTGCAGTAGACCAGTTGCCATCCAAGGCTATAGAATCCAGTCTGTCCTGCTATTTACCCATAGCTGGGGGAAGATGAAGAGGATTCATACCTTTCCCCAAGGGTATTAGCATGTAAGTGAATGTAATGGATTTGACTGAAATTTGAACTCGGTCCTCCGATTACTCAATCTGAGCCACCATCAATTACTCTACTGGTACAAAACTCATTCAGAAATATCTAAACTGTCAGCTATATATGACTGCTTTCTCAGATCAATGGTTAAAAATAGCTTCCAGCAAATAAAACCTGTATTAGCAAGGACCATCCTTTTTTGAACCTTGTGGACTAGCAACTGTATTCAATAACAGAAATCAAGTAATGACATTTCTGTTATTGAAGACTTTCAACAGTAGCAACATTTAAAATGGATAGCACATGTAACATGAAGAGAAAATACCGATATAATCAAGATATTGATGTTCCTCATTATTTCAAATGAAAGCTTAGGAAGGAAACCCTCCATCAATAGAGTGATAACAGCTACTGAACTTGAAACCTATTTTGCTGAAAAATTGTTTTAAAAGAAAGATTTTATAAATTTCTACTGGCAGTGGCACTGCTTGTTTGGTCTGTGGATGCCAAACATTTGGGTTCCTTATGGCTAATGTTACCATAGTGAATAAAATCTTTAATATGAAGTCTGTCTGGAGTATATCCAGCCTTTATGAATATATCTGGAACCACTTCCATAGACTTGATATAAGTTGGCGTCCAGCCAGAGAGGATCATGTTGTACATATAGGAACAGATGCTCTCCTGTAGGGTTACTCAATTGGCTGTAAGATGCCATTAAACAAGTTTGTGTATTGTAGGACAGTTGTATTACCAATGACAGAGTGAATAGATTTCTCATTTTTTCTTTATTAAATGTTCACTCCATACAAAGTCCAAGAGCCACTCAAGGTAGAGGGTTACTGAATAAGGTTGTTGGATGGGTGCAAGAGGAGGAAGTAAGTGCAGATTATGAGGATATGTAGGATAGATGATGGTTGACCTTAGACTTGAAGAAGTTAAGATTGTAGTGATTGTTTAACAGACTCCCAAGAGAATGATCTCCAAAGTGATGGTTCTCAAGAAGAAGCTGTCCGATTGGAACTTTCTTATTACTAATGGATTACAAAGAGAATGAGAATGATTTGACTCTGTGTACAGGACATAGTGGGTCTTAGGTGTAAATGTTTGAACTGGTGGAAGTAAGGAATGTAATTTATGTCTCATGCAGGGATTTTTAGCAAAATATCTCATTGCCCAGGTCTCTGTCTGTTGATCTGCTCTACAGTTCAAATTTACAAAGAATCAGTTAAAAATGCTGCAGATGAGATTAAGAAGAATGTAACAAGCAACTGATGCTGAAAGAAGACTGTAAATTTTTAAAAAGTGGGTGGGATGCTGGGATAAGAGTGAGAGGTTCCAAGGGCAGTACCCGATTAAGGCATCATTGCCCTAGGTAGGTTTCTTTTCTTTTTCTGTTTTTTGTACTTTTTTCTACATTTTTTTTTTGACTGTATAATTCCTGGACAAATCTTGTAAAATGTGTTAAGTTGATTGTGTATTTGTTACTAAATATTAAAGTTAAAAAAAAAAATAATCTTAAAATTAAGAATTGCAGACAGGTACATGATTATAATGAACACAATATTTATTTCTACTGTATATAATTCTTGCATAAGCTAATCTCCTCTATTTTACGTTTGAGAAATGGGCAAAAATCCAAACCTCATGTATAAGTCAGGGCAGCTAATCAGCACATTTTATTCAGATGGTGCAGTTTTGTAAATTCTCACAAATAATGGATAATTTTATGGAGTTTTAATATTTTGATATCTAAAATGTTTTTAAGTGTCATTTTGTGTATAGTTTTTGTTTTACAATTCCATTACACAATGATTTGTTTTACCATTTCATCTGTTTTATAAAGTTTCAACAAGTTTCTTGATATTTTTACTTTTAGCAGATAACGATAATGCTATCATCTGAATGAAACAGGATTTTATTTAACATACAAATTGAATGAAACATATCCCTAAAAAATAAAATAAGACTTGAAAAACATTTAATATCCTACAAGTAGATCCATTTTTATGAAATTATTAAAGCTTCTTATAGGGAACTTGATACCCATATATTGTACTATAGGAAAACAAAAGTTTGTGCAAAAGAAATAACTTTAATATATAAAATTTGTAAAGAAGAAATGAAAGTGTAAGTAAAGACTGAGTATTAAGAATATCCTTTAAATGGGACACTCCCAACCTGCAGGTACAAACCTGATTGGGGCTCTGGGCAGTGCTTTGTGACACTCACTAACTTATCAACATTTGTTTTTTTTCTACCTACATTTATATATGTTACAAATTAAACTAAGCACAGCTGACGATTAAGGGATGGAAAAACTTTTGCAGATTTTGATGTCATTGTGGTGTCAATTTTTCTCACTGAATTGTTCACCTATATTGCATATAATCCATTATTGTACATAATTAGTCTACAATAAAATTTGTATTTTATATGGATACTACCGTATGAAAATTTAGGTGTAGTAGAATGGGGGGCACGGGACACTTACACTGATCCTGCCGAAAAAATGCTTGTAAAATCTAAGTAAACTATATTTTATTGTATAAAAAAAAAAAAAATCACTACTGATATTTTGGCACTTTTTTTTCATATAGATGTTGAAATTGGTGAAAAGCAACAGAATATTAACCCTAAATATAAGCCTACATCACATTTTATCACTTTTTTTTTTTTGTCGTCACATATTTCTTGGCTTATACATGTACAATATATATATATATATATATATAAATAATGTGACAGAGAGAGTTTGGGAAACAAACATGTATTTTTTTTTTTTTTTTTTTTTTGAAATTGGAATAGATTTGAATAGTGAAATTAAATCAGAGCATTTTGTTTACTGATGTGGAAATTTTATCTAGGGCAGAAGTTGTACTCATTGAATCTGTGTCCTGAAAAAATTTCGCGTATGATATAGATCAGGGGTCAGCAATCTTTTGACAATCAGGAGACAATGGAAATTGTCGAAATAATTTTTATTGATTAAAAATTGAAATAGAGCTGAGTAAGTTAGAAGGAACTTTGGAATTGACATGATTATGGTTGAAGCAGCCAGAACCCCGTGATAATTGCGTGCAAAGTAGTAGGGCCAAGGGTCAGTTGTAACTAGCCTGGTTTATCTATATAAACGTGTAGTTATGCTGAAAAACAGAGACGGGGGAGTGCAGACGAAAGAGAGAGACGGAAGAGAATTAGCACGGGCAAGAGTTGGGCTAGAGACAGTGGAGAGTCAAGTTAGAGACTTGAGGAAGAGAGAAAGTGATGTCAGAGATTGGAACGAAGCATCTGCTAACATGTACTGTTGATATAAGTACCACTGCTTCTGCTACCATGAATATTACTACTACTGTTACTACTGCTAAGGAAGAATGCCACTATAAACTTTAAGATGTGCACAGAAATCTTATTCCCCCATCACAAAGAGTCGTTCTGAGACGGTTTAACAACATGTTAATCATAACACACTCTCTCTGTAGATATTAATTTTTTTCTTTTTTTGCTGCATTCCAAATTCCTTAGTGCAGATTCTCCAGCCGTGTCTACATCTTCAGTTGACCGTGAATGGTTCAACATTACTTCTGCTTTCTGGATCAAACCAAGCACAACGTGTTCAGGAAGCAGGATTAAACCAGTGGACCGATCGAATAATCTACGGATGCTCAGAGGACCTACGGCCACTCCCTTAAATTCGGTTAGGGCCGAGTAGACACCTCAACCCAGAGAGTAAGACGTCTGAGTTTGAGGGGCTGGAGCAAAAGTGTTATATATATATTGTTACGCCCGGGGTTTTGTTGGGACTACGATAGCCGGGACGCAACGAGAAAATAAGAAAAAAATAAGTAAGAGATCCCAAGGTTCGATATAAAAATAAAGAAAAGAATGTTGGGAGGGGAATTCTCCAATTCGGACGTCGGTAAATGCAGAGAAAATGAACAATTAAAGACACAGAACAACAGAAGACAACACGAGAATATACAATACAAAGATTTTATTTCTAGAATACACGGAGTGTGAATATAAGAAAAAGAAAACTAAATAATACAAGGGATGGGGAGATAAGTTACCAATTATTAAACAGATACTAATGCGGCAAAATTCATATGAATACAGAAATAGCAGACTATAAGATATGGAAAAACATGCAGAAACTTACATAAGTTTGGAATCGACGTCGATTGACAATTATCGGGGTACAATTTGTTCAAAGGATATTTATACACTTCTTTGAAAGTAACGGATGGGATTGACAATGTTCTAACATGAATTCTTGACTGGCGACGTCCAATCCGGGTTGATGGCGAGGAGAACACACAGAAAAATCACGGGAATGTAGCCGACTTGGGTTGACGATGTTGATCTACAATCTCGCGTCGGTCCTTTGGTTTTTGGTGACATCTAATTCTTCTAATGGTGAGTATCTAAGACTGGTTTTTGGTGACGTCCAACTCCTCTGATAGCCAGCAACTATATGTGGTTGTTGTTACCTCAACATGTGCGAAACAAAAACTGCTATATTTTGAGTCACGTGTTGGCCCCCCAAAAAAAGGTGTGCGTCATTCACGGACCCTGTTAATATCATCCACAGTTATCTGTCAAACAGCGTTTGTCTTGGCCAGCAACTATGGAACTGGTTAACATCATTCACACCTATCTGTCAAACAGCGGACCAGGTAGGAGATGGGGGTAGAAGGGAAGGTTCTTTTCCGAGAACTGGCCCTGACTCATCTGGTTATAAAAACAATATATATCTCACAATCTGCATATTTAAGAAATAAAAAAAGTTAAGGTTCATATGTTTCGTCGCAAATACAAAAGGTACTGAAAATGTACTTATAAAATCTGAGGTGGGGGTACAAATATGGGCTTAACGTAACAATATATATGTAATTTTTTTTCCACGAACATCAGGCAAGGAAGAAGATTATTGAAAAATATTTGTTGTGTAAAAGAGTTTTCTTCATAAGACTGGATTTATCGATTTACCTGTTTGCATTTTATAATATATTGTGATATTTTGAACAGCTGAATTCTGGTAGTGTAGTTAGAATTGGGGAGCTAAATTCAAATTACTGCCTATTCTGTTGCTTTCACTTTTGCACAGATTCCTTTGGGAAATGAATGAATACATCTCTTCTCTTCCATCAGCTATATACTAAATAGCAGGGTTGGTTAAGCTCTTTAGCCTTGGGTAGAAATCAGTCTAAGAGAAGAGCTACTTTGAATTCAAAATGGTGGTAAAACAGGAGTCATGGTAAGTCACAAATGTTAAAAGAAAGGAAGCTGTGGAGACTTATGCCCTGAAAGATATGACATTAAAATAATATATTTTGTTAATGTGTATGATTTTGTTTGAATGTTTTTTTTTTTTTTTTTTGTGAAAACTTAAATTTATTTGTTTTCTAGAACCACATTGCTTCTTTGTCTTCCTGAACTTGTCCTCTTTGTGATGTCCATCTATTCTGGTTCAAAAGCCTTGGCTAATATTGTGAGTTTTTCTTTTTTTTTTCTTTGCTTATCTGTCTATATCTCTGAGATGAGGTATTATGATTACTTGCATTATTCAGACTGTTATCCACATCTTCATTGCCATATCCACACAGTTTTGGCCGTTGTATGCTCCGGCCTTCTTCAGGTGATTGGAATTTTGAACTGAATCCTTTATTTCATCCATTGGAATAGATTGTTTTAGTTCCATGTACCCTGCCTCTTCCGGATGTCTCAGTTATTGAGGACACATGGCCCAACAGATAAAGATGTTGGTTAGATTCAGTGACTAAACTCAAAGAGTTCAATACTTGGCCACAGCAGTGGTGAACCAAAAACTTGGAGAGTTGAGTTAAAGGGAAATAACCAAGACATCCAGAAGAGGCATGTCACATGGAACTAGAACAATTTACCCCGGTGGATGAAATAAAGGGTTCGGTTCAAAATTCCAATCACCTGAAGAAGGCTGGAGTGTACAACAGCCGAAACATTGTGAATATGGCAATGAAGATGAGGATAACAGTCCAAATAATGTAAATAATGCAAGCTCTGTTTGCTTTTTGGAATTCTGTCACCATTAAGTACAGAAGAATGTAATTAAAGGGTCAGTTTGCCATAAATGTTTCTTTTTTGTTTTTCTTTGCTCTTTGTTTTATTTTCCTTTCTCACTCTTTTTTTCTCTATCTTCCCTTGTTTTTTCTGTTCCCTTTTTCTTTTACCTTTTGTTTTGAAATTCTTCATCAAAAATTTTTTATGTACAATTACCTACCTTGTGGCATGACTAAATTTTTTTTGTGTTTGTCATTTTTTAAATTTTCCTTTATACTTTCAATTTATGATAAGTAGAAAATATAGCAATAGTTGTTTGTTAATGGTTTATTCCAGTTTCTTTTAACTAAAAATCAACAGAAGAAAAATATAGTTTTCTTGCTTTGTTTATTAAAGTAAAATTATTTCTTGCAATTTGATCTTCATGTTTTTTACATTGAGATACAAATATCTAAATTTAAGGCCTTCAACCTTCATTTTATCACTCTGGTTTAATTCATCAGTTTAAGAAGTGCTACTGTTTATTTTTGGTTGCATGTCTGTGTGTACTTCATTTATTAAAAGTTTGACACTTTTGGGAAGAAGTAAAAAACAATTTTATTTTAAGAAAGTTACTTTTAGAATAAATTTTCAAAAATTTTAATTAAAAATTTGTATTGTCCTAGCATCATCCCCTACCCCAACAAAACTAACCATGTCCAAAACTGATGTTCTATCATCCTTGAGACAAGATTAATCACAAGCCCTGCAATCATAGCTCTCCCCAGCTTCCCTTCCTTTAATATATGTGAATTGACATGATTTTGGAGGGGAAAGATAGTGATTTCCTGTTACTGTCTCCATGGTTTTGAGTTCAAAGTTGTCTTCCTCTTTGACTGCCAGCCAAGGCTAGAGAGCTCAGTCTACTTTACTATTTAACTGATAACTGGAGGGATTCATGCCTCTTCCAATAGAAATGATGCTAAGTGAATGTATCAGATTTGATCAGAATTTAAACTTGGTTTACAGATTCTACTTTCCACTTTGATTAGTTATCTAACCTGGCATGAAAAATTGTTTTTGCTAGAAAATAAGCAGGTTTAAAACCTCTGATGCTTTGTGCTATTTAACTCAGCAGAAGATAAAATAAAATGTAAATGACATCTCAAGTCCTACAGGACACAAAATAATAGATTTTCTTTTACATATTTCAGTCTTTTTTCTTTTGAAAATGTAAGTTTGAACAAGATACTTTTTTAAAATAGGTAGATTTATAATGGGACTTTGGATGTGATATAAAGAAACTTTGTGTAGATTATATTTTAATAGTTTTACAAGTATTAAACTTTGAAAATAGAGCAATTTCATCTCTTCAGGTTGATTATGGAGATTTAAAACTATTTTTTTTTTTATTTCAGACAATTCCTGCATTTCTGGCTGTCTGCAACAGTTGCCTATTGATGAAGAGAATCGGTCTATGCTTTTTGCATAAAACCATTATGGTAATAAATTAAATATGAATTATGAATTTCATTAAGGTTTTTTTTTTTTTTAATTTTTAGATTAAGCATTTTTGCACTATTATTTTATTACTAAATTTATTATCTTATCTTCATTATTACTATTTTATTACTAGTTTTAATTCATCTTGTTTTTAATCACAATTCTGAATCAGTAAACTTGTGGAAGTTGTGCATCATGTTGGTTTTTACATTAAAAATTAATGAATGCTTAGTGAATGTTGTTTTGGAAGGTTTATTTTCTTTTTATGGATACAAATTGTGTTCTTTGTGTGAAACAGTTTATAGCATGTTCAAACAGGGAGAGAGAGCAAAAGAGACTCCCTTTTTTGTAGTTAGGTAGTCATCTTGATTAGTTCCTTGGTGGCTAGTCGAGTGGACCAGCCTGTCCTGCTCCCAGCTGAAATAGTAGTGAAAACTGATATAGGCTCTATTTTTCCTGAGTTTAAATTGTTGTCAGAGAGTGCACATATGATTGTCTTTTGCTTTTGTACAGGGTTTTGATCTTTTTGTTTTGCTTATCCAAGTATCTTAAGAATGCTGGTAATAAGGTGTTAAGTAGATGCTACTTTTCAGGGGATTTAAGAAGTATTTGGCAAACATGGACCTTTGTTCCCACAATAAGACAAAGTGTCAAAAGGATGGTTTTTCTCATGACACCCTCTTTTAAATACATTCACTCTTTGGCAATGCTTATTGTTTTAAAAAGCAATCATTAAAATTGTAATAAAACCTAAACATATATGAAAGTGAATTTATAAATTTTCTTTGTTCTTGAGAATTTACAACAAAAATAATAAACATTGTTTATTTATACACTTTATTTATTGGGATAACTGGCAAAACATCAGCTAATTGCCAATTGATTCAAACTTTATAGAATGGTAAATAATAAGGATTTCCTTATATTTTGTTTACATATTTTAATAATTTAGTAAATGTTTATAAATAAAAAAATTTTCATATTTATTTCTTTATAAATTGGTAAATGATAAATATTGCATTGCATTAGTTGTAATTGTCTTTGTTTTTAGAATGTTGTAAATATAAAATTATTCTTGTAAATAAACAATCTAATAGTTTTAATATTTTTGTTGTAAATTCTCAACACAAAAACATGTATAACTTCACTCATCATATGTTTAAGTCTTATTACAATTCTAATTATCGCTTTTTAAAACATTGCTGAAAGGTGAAAATAGTTAAAATGAAAGTAGTGTCATGGGAAAAATGTCCTTTTGCTATGCACTCTTATTTTGAACATGAAGGCCTGTGTTTACCAAATAGTTTTATTTTATTTATTAAACATTGCCTACTACTGCAAACTGTTAGCTTGAAAAATAAATAATAACTGATAAAACCTTAACTTGCATCTACACATTTGATCAAGTCATTTGTGATTGATGTAAGACTTCTGAAAGTCTGGCATTTAAGGTGTGGATTACAAGTTCAAGACATATTGAAATTTTATTCCATTTGTTTTAATGATTGAAGTGATTATTGACGCAATGTTCTGCTAAAAAGCAACAAGAAATTAAAAAAAAAGGAAAGAAGAAGAAAAAAGAGAAGGAAAAGGAGGAAGAAAAAAAGAGAAGAAGGAATTGCTTTGATTGCTAGATCAACCATGGTAAATTTGTGCCCAGGTTATTAGAACATTTCACCTTTCTTAGCAGATCTGTTATCACAATGTGGGATACTTGACAATAAAAGTGATAAAAACAAAAGCATCAGGAAACTGGATGAAATCAGTGAGACTACATGCCAGATATGCCTAAGAAGGGGAATAATTTTTAAATTTCAACATTCCATCATCTTCAGTGTTTTCAGTTGGTGCATAATTATAACTGACACTTGCATTTTTATATCCTCCTCTTAATAAACATATAATTCCATCAACAAAGACATTACTTTAGCTGATAGTCGTTTTAGAGAACGAAATGTATTATACAGAATTTTTCCCATTTTGTATCTTTTTGTTTTTATATATATATATATAAACACAATACACACATAAAAGAGGGTGTGATGTGTAACTTTTAATTTTGCACTCGTGTGTTTGTTTTTGATTTTGTTGACTGTATAGTCAGTTGGTGCTCTTTTCACACAGACAGTGCCCATGACACAATTCACTCTGCCAGAAATTTGGAAATAGCATGCCATACTGCTTGGCATTTGTGCCAGAAGCTACAGTATGAACATTTCAGAGTGGGTGTTAGTCTGAGGACAGTTCAGAGGATTTGGAAAGTGTTGGATGATATATCCAGTCAGCATGATGATATTTGGCATGATCACTAGTGATGGTGATGCCTCCATTCATCTTCCCACAGAGCCTCAGACTCAAATCAAGTACCGTGAGGAGGTAGTGCTGTCCTGAGTCAATAGGGTGACTATTGGAAGAACTTGTCTGACAAGACTCTGTGCCATGCCCCATTAGTAGAAGAACTCGGTCATAGCTGTCAGACAATTTCTGTTACAACATCACCCCTTAAACGTGGCCACCTAACTCCCCGCTTTGATTATGATGTGTGGGATGCAGTTGAGTTAGAGACCAACAAAATTCTTTGTAATACCAAAGATGAACTGAAGGCAGCATTCGCCAACTTAAACAAGGAGACCATCCATAAGAGTTGCAGGAGATTTCAGTCTACTGGAGGCTGTGGTTGAGACCATTGGCGATTTTATTGAATAAGTTTACTGTTTAGTATTTGAAGATATTTTTGTGTAATTTTGGTAAATATATCTGTTAAAATGAGAGCTGTTATTTTCATTTTTGCATAATTTAGGCAATTTATCCATCATGCCATTTTATATATATATATATATATATATATATATATATATAAAGAAATGGACAAAGTCTGACAATTTATTTTATTAAAGACATTTTTTTATGTTTAACGTTCTTTTTTATAGATACAAGTATTTAAGTAAATGCTCTGTTTATAATAAACAGTATTTCTATGAAAATTTCTCAGACATTCAGGCCGGTAAATGTTATTTAATACTGTTTATTATAAACAGAGCATTTACTTAAATACTTGTATCTATAAAAAAGAACGTTAAACATAAAAAAATGTCTTTAATAAAATAAATTGTCGGACTTTGTCCATTTCTTAATATGTGACGTCATTTGTTTACATTTGATATGCCAGAGCAGTTATGAATATACGAGATTCATGGAAGATTGAAGTTTATAAGCAGTAAATTCGACCTTGCCTACCGAATGCTCCTTTGTGGCCGAGTTGGTTAAGGCACGTCAGCGTAAATGACGGTTCCGTATAGGATGCAGGTTCGAATCCTGTCAAAGGACGAATATTTTCTATGAAAATTTCTCGGACATTCAGGCCGGTAAATGTTATTTAATACTGTTTATTATAAACAGAGCATTTACTTAAATACTTGTATCTATAAAAAAGAACGTTAAACATAAAAAAATGTCTTTAATAAAATATATATATATATATAAGGCAGATGTTATTAAAGCCAGCAGACATTTTGTGTCAATTTTATTGATTAACTGTTCCAAATTATGAATGATCTTTCTCAGATAAGGATTGTCAGAATGTCCAAAGTTCATTTCAGAAGAAATGTGGTCTAAGCTTTTGATGTTTTTAAGTTATCAGTGTAGGTATGTACAAATGGTCTGTATTGTGAGACATATATAAGGATTTCATATTTGTTCCTTATCCTAACATGTTTTCATTCTGTTGGATTTCAATTGATATTTGATCTCTCTCTTTCATATATAAATAAATCATCTTCAAATCATCTGCTTGTCAAAATTTTATTTTTGATTAACTTGAATATTTATTCAAGTTAATCAAAAATAAAATTTTGACAAGCAGGTACAATTACTGTTCACTGGGCAGACTTATGAAAGCAATAGCAATAGTTAAACTTTTTTGTTTTTCTATATTACCAAAACAATTGAATTATTATCAACTCATACTTGAATGAAAAGCCCTAACAACTGAATTAGATTTCCTAAACAACATTTAATATCGTTACTGTTTTTCTAAGCTTGCCTGGTAAACAGTAGTCGAACTACAAAATTGATATCTGAATTTTGAAAATAAAATAATAGTAAATGTATTTTTTTGTTCTCTCCCAGTTTTCTGATCCTTTTGGTTGGCTTGTTCATGGTATCCTTGGTCTCACCATCTTAGGTGTGTTGAAGACAGATCCAACGGTAAAAACATTTATGTATTTATTTGTTATTTGAAGACTATACCTTTTCACTTTTAATTTGAGGAAAGTTACTATTCTCAAATTGAAAGTGAAAAGGCATAGTTTAGCTATAAGCAGTATTTCAGCTCCTATCAATTGCATTATTGCTTATATTTTCAGCTTGAATAATCCACAAGTTTATCTCTACAATTAACTTTATTATTGCATCAAAGAAAGAATTCTGCTCTGTAAAATCACTGAAAGCAAATATGAAACTAAAGAAAAAGCATGAATGTATTAGTAACTTGTTCTGACTATCTACCATAACAGAATATTTCATTATTAATATAAAGTATATTTATTAACAGGTGTTGCGTAATGCTTTACATTATCATAACAATGAAATATCTCATTAACCAGATTGGTTTGCAGCATTATATTTATGAACTATATTGTTTTTTTTTTTGGTTTTTTTTAATGTTATAAGATAGATCATTATTATCACAGTTGCTGCACTAGTCGACTAGATTTGGTCGGGTTTACTCTGTTGTCAGACTTGCCCCATTGCCACACTTGTCGACCAGATTTGGTCAGGCTTGCAGTTCAGTCTTTGGTAGAAGTGAAATGTGAAATTCATCTGTTATGCAGATGTCTTGCTGGTTGTCTATGAATTTATTGTTTAAGTGTCAATTTACTTTAATTCCTCCCTTATAAAGTACTGTAAGTAACCTACAATCAAAAATGTTTCTGCTTTAAATAACTCACAAGGGGTTGATAAACCATAAAAACAATAATTCTGCAAATCAATTCTATATAACAAAGCTCAAGTGCCACTCAAGGTAGAGAGTTAGTAAATGAGGAAGCTGTATTGATGTAGGAGAGAGAAGTAAGTGAAGATCATGAGGATACATACAATAAAATTGCTGTCCTACTGGAACTTCCAATAGAATATGAAGGGAATGAGGATGATTTGACCCTGTGTACATAGCATGACATGCCCGAGCTGTAAATGTCTGAACTGGTGGAACTAAAAAAAAAAAATTAGATAAAACTACCAAAGTAAGTATTGTATTGTAAACATTCTCTAAAAATAACAATTTTTTTGCTTTTGGTGTTTTAGTATCACAATGATGGTTACTTTTGGATGTATGTTCACATTGTTTGCTTAGGTAAGTATTTCTTTTTTTTTTATTTGAATTTTTGTGATGAGGAATTATCATCATCAATATCCTTCACTGATTAAGTTGGATTAGTGACCTTATCATTGTTATTGTCACAAGATTTTGACCATTGCACCTCTTGGCCTTCTTTAGGTGTCTGTTGATAACTGTTATGAAGTGGGATTTCCTTTGTATTTTATCAGTCCAGCAGTAGTATTTATCTTGTATATCGTGAGCTACTCTACCCTTACTGCTTGGACATTTATATAGTCTATATCTTAGCTATACTAATTAGGCAGTCTTTTACATATCATTACAGTAACCTTTCTGAAATTTCAAAGAAAGCCCTTTATTTGATGTGTATTGGGAGACTTATGGTTCTGCTTTCCATATTAGAATTAATTAAAATGAGGTCCTCCATCATTTTAGTATATCTTTATATCGCTTGTTTCTTCTACTGAATCAGAATGTTTTTTTTTGTTTTTTAATCATTTCACCTCAAACAAGTCAATAAAGCCACTAAAATGCAAGGAGTTACTGAGTGTGAAAGAATATGAGAAAAAGAAAAACATTAAGAGAAAAAACTATAAAAGAACAGGAATTTGAAGTAATGATTGATATTGTATTTAAATTTTTGAAGATCAAAGTTGACTAGAAAGCAAGAAACTGAAAGAGTGTGCTAGAGAAGAAACTGTTAGCATAGAACTTACAGTTACATATAGCAATTCCTACTGTAAAATGATGAGACATAGGTGCCAAGCTAGTACTGCACTTTTGGAATGAATTTTGGGAAAGTGACTGAAGCTGAGATGCCAGGTCAGGATCAATAACATTTAAATTCTTAGGATTTTATCAAGAATCTTTAAATATATAGCAGAATTACATGAAATGGCTCTTGTTCATATTGAACATCATGTCCATGTCATCAATCCAGGGCTTGTCTGAAGGCAGTGGTATTGAACCTGAGGTTCTGTGGAAAAAGGTGTGGGTGACATGATTTTGTATGCAATGCCTGTGCACTGTCACCTGTCATTCTTGAGAAAGTTGGTTATTTCTAAGTCACTGGAGTTGACAGATAGTATCATGTCCATGGCATACCACCCCATTTCTTGTGCTGGAATAAAAGTGGCTCTGTTAATGCTGTGATATGTCTGAAAGAGAAATGATATTAACATGGAAGATACTGCATAACAAGTACTTTCCCCTTTATAGCATGCTAAAGGCATTTTTTCAAATAACTGTATCTCCCAAACCATGCTAATAGCTTGGTAGTGAAATTTAGGGTTTGTCGGTTTTCTGTGAATTGATTTTGATAAAACTTTTCCCAGCTGGTTTGCACAATGTGGCAACACTATTGTTAGGTTTTCATTATTCTGTGTCATGTCCTTTATTTTTTATTTCAGATTCAACAGTTTTTGGGCAAATCATCCTAATAGCTTTTGAATGAAAATATCTCATGTAAACATTTTTAGGGAAATGAAGGATAATGATACATATTAAGAACACTTTGAGTATATACTTAGCAGAAAGCCATAATAATATTACATAATTTATTGACATAATGCATTATTTGACCACATGAGTGTCATTTTGACAAAACTTCAAAAACACTATTAGTCATGGAATCTGTCAATTGTTTTTATAGTAGCAGGTTGGATTGCTTCTGGTACAGCTTTGATGGTCACATAAGATATCTTTTGATGTAAATTGACGTCCCTTGGCATAAAACCTTGTTTAATGATGGACCAAAGATGATGGCAACACCATCAACCTTTCACCTTGTATGCTCTAAGAACCTAGGAATGCTTGAGTGGACCTGGCAGAGTGGGAGAAAACATTGTCATGCATGAATACAAGAGTCCTTAAAAGTGACAGCTGTATGTCATCTAGCCAGGGACCCAAGACCTCCTTCAAGAGATTGCAGTAGATGACTGTAGTCACTTTAAACCCTTCAGGAATCCTGATTGGGCCAACAAGTCTGTCCCCAATGATACCAGCTCACAACAGGACTCCTCCACTCTGTCGTTGACATCATAAACATTGGTGACACTCATCTCTGAAATAAACCCAACCATTTGCTCAACGATCATGTCCGTCAAGAGTTTCCTTAGTCTTATCAGTGAGCAGACCACAGCTCATGTCCCATGTCCTGCACTTCCTGACCCCATTGAAGCCTCAAATTCCTGTCATGAGTCATTAAAGGAGGAAATTTCAGGGGAGCTTGCATGAAAGCTACAGCCCTGAGGATGTGATTTCTGGTGATTTTCAGTACATGGGGGAAATCCAGTAGCAGTGAAAAGAGCTTTGCTTGTTTTCCAGGTTTCCCATGTAACTAATGCTCCTAAAATCTGTAGCTGTCATGGTCTTGGAGGTCCCACAGTCAGATAGTTTTCTTCCTGGGAAAAGTGTCCCTCAGGAAATGTCTAACAGTGTCCACATGATGACTAAACTTCTCTGAAATGACATAAAGAGAGGTGCCTTTAGCACTTTCCCTGATGATGACAGATGTTTCTTCATCGTTCAGGTTTTTCCATATCCCATTGTTGTTTGAGAGGAGGTTATTAGCGTGGTTCACCCAAAAACTGTCGTATCTGAAATAAAAAAAAAAATAAAAATAAAGGATGTTACACAGAATAATGAAAACCTAACCATGGTGTTGCCATATTGTGCAAATCAGCTGTGAATAGTTTTATCAAAATGAAAACTGAGAAATCCTAAATTTCACTACCAAGCTATTAGTGTGGTCTAGTATATATATATATATATATATATATATATATATATATATATATATATATATATATATATAGATAATAACAAATTTATTTGCAGGTGCAATATTTATGTTTATTGAAATAAATAAAGATATTCTTAAATTGAGGTGAGTACAAGTTTTCTATATATTTTTTTTTCTTTTGTCAGTTATGTTACAAGTATTTATTAGTGAATTTTATTTTCACTATACTAATGTCGTAATGGTCCTTGAGATGAGTTTACAAATCCCTATTCCATGACAAGAGGCTTTGTATGAAGATATACACCCCCTCCAAAATAACAATAAACCAATTTCATACTTTTGGAAAATCTCAGATCACTGTACATGTAGTTAAATCAAGTCTTGAGTGGCAGCAATATTGGGACTATATTTTGTGTATAATGCCATCTGGTATCAAATTCTTGGAGAATGATATTGACCTGAATTGTCTTCCTAGTTTGAAATTCCTGAAAATGGAATTGGAAGAAATGAGGAAGAGTAAGGAGTGGTATTAATAAGAACTAATATTCAACTCTTAGAATTCTGCCTTGTGTCAGACTTGGCTAAGCTTAATAACTGATATTTTGGTCAGTTTACCCATACTATAAAAAAAATGACATCAAATTTTGTTCAGTCCTTGCTATTATTCAAAGTTTTTTGTATGTGAGCCTTCAAAGAAAAGTTATGAATCCAGTTTCAGGTGTTTGCATTTTATTAAAATTACCCAGGGGAGTATACAGTCTGAGTAGTATCAAAAAAACAAAAAACAAAAAAAAACGCCCCTTTTGACATACTGTTTTTTACTAGCATATCTGTTAAACTTTGCCCATAATTCTATTTGCTTACATAACCTAGGATATCATGGGTAGGATTTAGTGAATAACTACATGAAAATTTCATCCACTCTAATGGTTAAATATTTTATAATCCAAATCAATTCTGATTATAGTCGACCCAGTAGATGAGGTTTTGGCCAATCATTGTCCACTGAATATATTGCTACTTCATCATTTTTAATTAATTTTAGTTGTTTTCTGCACTAACCAACTTTACCTACAGGAAGAAGTTGGATCATTAAGCCATTATTTTTTTAATCTTAAGTGTTGAAATTTTCTCAAGAAAATCTCAACACTTATTTCGTATATTGTCCAACGAAAATCCAGAAGAAAGGGATTGTCAGTAGTTAGGAATTAAGAGAAGTGTTACTGATAGAATAAATAGAGAAAATCAGGAAAAAAAGGGGTATATTTGATGGGATGTTGTAAGATCTCAGGCAACAAACTTTTCTCTTTACTGTTCAGAATGGGTTTCAGATCCGTTAAAAATCTAATTGTATTGACCAAAATCTTGTAATTAGCAGAATCTTTTGTCACTGCTTTTGAAGAAATTAATTTTTATGCCTTTTTCAGTAAGACCAAATTGCTTTTTTACAATTATATATTCAGGTAAGTAGGATTTATTTGTATACCTTGTAAATGTAAGGGAGATAAATCTTCAATAATTTGACAATAATAAAATGAAAACTGATTGAAAAGTGGGCACTATTTAACATTCGTGCTCCCCCCAAAAAAAAACCTGACAAAAACAAACAAACAACATCGGTGTGTCAAAAGGACCATTATTCCCTTGACACCACTATTATTGTATACACATTTGATTCCTTCGGCAATGTTTATTGTTTTAAAAAGCAATGATTAGAATTTTAATAAAACCCAAACATATGTAAGTGGATTTATACATTTTCTTTATTCTTGAGAATTGACAAAGGTATTAAACACTGTTTATTATTTAAATTGCTTATTTAGAAGAAGAATTTTATATTGACAAAATTATAAAAATATGTGACCCAACTATAAAGAAATAAAAATAATTTTTTTTTATTGATAAATTTATAAAATGTCTGAAGAAAAGAACTTAAATAAACACATAACGGTGAGTAATAGTAAATATAAATTTTAAAGAAATGCATTTTCTGAGCATTTCTTTCATTTACTCTCACCCCATAAATTTACTAAAATAGGTTGAGAGCATCCCTTCTGTTTTTATTTTAATGATTTTGTTAAAAAAATTTTTTTTACAAACTTTTGTATAAAAAGATTTTTCAAATCCATTTCTTTATAAAAAGGTAAATAATATTGCATTTTTTTTGGTTCACATATTTTTATAATCTTGTAAATAAATATGAGGGAGTCAAAAGTGTATACCGTAATAGTTGTCCAAAGGGAATAACTGTCCTTTTGACATGCTGTTTTTTTTTTTTTTGATGGGGGGCATGAAGGTTAAACATTACAGAACAGTATTTAATATAGGTATTTTTTTATTTTTTTTATAAATAATGCTGAAAGTTATATTCAAAATTTAAACCACTTTGTAAGTAAGAATTTTAAAACACATATTCACAAAATTAATGCATTACTTTGATATGTAATATAATAATGGCATCAGTAAAAATATGTCTGAGGTTATTTGGCAGTTTTCACACACAGATACAACTAAATATTAATAAGAGAGTTTGCTTTCTGCATATTAAATTAATATACTTTTCTATATGTTGTATCCCTTCAGGACATTGGCAATCGTGGTTCTCCACAATTTCCTGTCCTTTGTAGCTTTTGATGTCTTTTTGCCATCTCTCACAAACCTTGCTCTATCATCCATTCACTGAAGCTTGCCAGATAGGTTGTGTGTTGTTTTCTTCTAGCGGTCTTATCTTGAATCTGTCCTGTGAGTATAAAATTTTCCAAGCCCTCTTTCCTCAATATGTGCCATGGAAATTTCAACTGTCTCTTATGCTTAACATCAGGATGTTAAGCATAAGTGTCTTTTTTGTTGCCAAATGAATACCACTGATTGATTTAGTTAACTTAGAAATAACAATGAAGATTCTTTGAAATTAAAGCTATTGTTTTACAGAAAATGTGTTTTCTTTTTGCTGTTTAGTGTGTTTGTGTTTGCTCCATGTAGCTACCTGCTTGGTAAGTGGAGTCTTTTCTCTACTTTATTAAAGCAGTTAATTCAACACATTTTTGATAGTATTTGTTCTCACTATTTTAAATATGAAAAAGAAATAACTTAAAATATGTTTGCAAGATGAATTTCATGTTGTTTTTAGAAAGCAAATAACAAATAGTCACATTAACTTAATATCTATAGTCATATTTGAATCATCTAAAAGTTTGTTTAATAACTAATTTCAAACCCTGAAACCTATAACCTTGTTTTCAATTTGAGGAGGCAAATACTCTTTCATTTCTGTCGCTTCAGCCTTGTGCAGATAAACAAATTCTTAAGTTTTTTTTATGTATTTTAAAGATTTGCATATATTAAAAGTAATGGATAGAAAATGTTATGAAATAACCCAAATATTTTCAATGTGAAAAATTCATTTAAGAATTAGTTAAAATATGAAGAAATAATTTTTTTCCCACCTACAGGTGATGCAGCTGAGGCTGTAAACTTCCAACATCTATCTTTATATCGTTTTTATTTTGGTTGCCTGTTCAGGTAAGGCTTTTCTATTTAAAAATCAAAAATAAGTTTGAAATCTTGTATGAGTTTTGGACTAAATTTGATTGCAATGTACAAAAAAATGTCCTCATCATTTCAAGGGTTGTTCAAACTTTTGATCAGTAAAGTTTGTCCTTTCTGAAGTTGCATCTCTAATATTCTGGTCCCTGAAAGCCATATTCAAAAATAGAAGGGATTACAATAAACCCTCTCAGAAAATGTCCAAATAAATTGATAAGGATTATTGTAGGAGAGTGAGAAAACTTAAAAATGTGTGTAAATAAAAACCTCAGTCATGTGACCTTTTTTTGTCCTTAACAAGAAAAAAGATTGGAGATCAACCCTGCATATGAAATATACAAATGCTCGTTTCCCATCTGAAAATACAAATTTATTGGCTTCTTTCAAAGAAAGCGGACAAGAATATTTAACTGATTAACTGGGGGAAACATGACTGTCTTATTCTAAATGTTCTGAAAGAATCGACATTAGATCATAATTTTTTCTTTATGCCTGTGGAAACAAGGTTGTCTAGTTTTTTTTTTTCTTCACATCAAACTGCATGATACACAAATAAACAGCCCTATTTGCATTATTTGGACTGTTGTCCGAATCTTTGTCACAATATTACAACGTTTCAGCCGTTGTACGCTCAGGCCTTCTTCAAGTGGTTAGAATGTCAAACTGAACCCTTTATTTCGCTCACTGGGGTAGAATGTTCTAGTTCCATGTGCCATGTTTAATATCAGTTATCTCCTGTTAATTCCCCTCTGCAGGTTCTCCACTTCCTTAACCAGGTATTGAACTCACACACTTTGGGTCCTGTCACTGGATTTAACCAACATCTTTATCCACTGTGCCAGCTTTCTGGTGTTCTTGAAGCCTTATCTTAAGGGGGCAGTCTGTCTCTCCTTTATAACTGATAACTGACATCTATTAAACATGACACATGGAACTAGAACAGTTTACCCCAGTGAATGAAATAAAGGGTTCAGTTTGACACTCCAACCACCTGAAGATGGTCGAAACGTTGTAATAAATATGACGACAAAGATGAGGACAATAGTCCGAATAATGTAAATAGTGTACATAATACCTCATCTCAGAAATATAGATAAATACTAAATTAATAGCTATCATCATCAACTCCATATAAAAACTTTACCTCATAGAAAAGAAATGTTGCCGAACGTTAGCAGGGGAGATAACAATGGCAATATAAAAGTTATCAGGGTAGACAACTCTTCTTAAAACAAAATAGTACATTTATGATATCTTAGTTTTTAAAACAACTGTCAACTTTTCATGTAAAATGGGATTTAAATTATATTCATCATTCTTTTTTATCCTATAGAGATGAATGGTTATATTCGATACAAGATTACTACTATATGTTTGAGTTTTGTTTTAACTGCAACATACTCAGTGACGTGGACTTTGCTTAAATCCATTGCTTAGAAAGTGATAAAAAACATTGAAATAGTGTGGTTGTTTTCTATTCTTTTTTTCAATGGGTTCTTTCCTTTAACATTGCTATTTCAACTAAACTTTGGTTACCATATTGAGATATGATCCAGTGTAATGACCATGTTTATGTATTTTTTAATTTTTTTTTTATTTCAGTGGTGTGTTTGGGGTTTTGCTTAACCTTTATCATATTAAGCTTCAAGATTCCAAATTATCTGCCTATGGAGAATCCATTTGTATTGCACAGGTTAGTAACATTATTTTTTAATCATTATTCTGAATGATCACCATGAAAATAATAAATTTCTCCAAATCATCCCAGTTGTTTATGTACCAATAAAGTTGGGACAGTTATGCCACCTCTGAATATTGAAGACCTTATTAATTCATTAGCATAAAAGAAATTGTTTGTGCAAAAGTTGGATTAGAAGGGTTAATTTTTTTTTTTCATTCATTATTTTACAGATTGCACATACAATAATGATAAATAAAGGAAGAATATTTTCATGTTTTCTTCTTCATTTTATAATTATATATGATTAGGTATATAAGGCAAGGTTAGGGAGGCATCTTAATTGGGTAGGGAATGGAAAATTTGTAGTTTTACCACTATGCAATAAATGTGAGTGGTTTTAATAAAAGGGAGAAGATCATTGAAAGTGTCAAAAATGTTAAATATTAGTGAAGAAACTTGTTTATTTTATGGCATGACTAAAAAAAAAATTCCTAATTAGTTAAAAATATTGAGTAAGACTCAAAAGTTTCATCTTTTATATCACTTGCTAAAAGATTGATACCTTAAGGTTTGGAATAGATGTCAAGGTTCCGTGCCTTGGAAATCAGACTAGTTACATTCCATCATCACTGGTCAGACCCTGAACTTTCACCAGTCATGATGAATAGATGTTCTCTCAGGAAGGTCAAGTGCCTTGAGAAACTATTGGGCCTCAAACTCAACTCGGATCTCAAGTGGAACTTGTTTATACAATCCATCATTAAAGATGCAGGAAAAATGGTCAGTTCCTTGTACTGGTCATAATATCTACACAGAAACCATAGACTACTTACCTAGCTTAACTCTATAATTGTATTATTAAATGGAATGTATGACTCATGTAAGCAAATATGGAATTTATTTAGATACTGCTTACTTTCTCTTCTGTAGATTGTAGCAAGTGTTGTGTCTGTTCCGCTGTTTCATTTTTCCATGACCAAACAACATGCTATGTGGTAAGTGATGTTTCTATTAGGCAGCCATTTTGTAAGTGTTTCAATACCTGACAATGTTCAGGCAAAATGTTTATCTTTTAATCCTGGAATCAGTTAAGATTTGATATGTAATTTAACATTAGATTCATAGCCTGACAATATTTTGGACATTCAGGATTTAAAAAAAAAATATATATATATATCTTCCAGGGTTAGAAAGAAATCCCTCTTCTGTAAAATCTGATTACTATTATTCTACTTGTTTGTATTTCTACTTTGTCTTTAATGAAGAAGGAATTCGTAAAAGAAAGGAAGGCTGACATATGAAAGAGCTTGCTGAATGGTTATCAACATTCAAATTCTTATATGCATGTAGAGAGAAAGAAAGAAAATAAGAGAGCTAAAGTAATTAATAGAGAGTAATGAAGAGTAAGAGAGAGAGTAATGAAGAATGAGAGAAAGTAACTAAAAGAGAGAAGGTAAATAAGAGATAAAATAAGAGACAGAAAAAGAAAGTAAATAATAGCACAATTAAGAGTGAGAGAGAGTTATTAAAGTTGTCTTTCTCTTGTGAGATATATATATAACAAACTTGGTTTGCTTTCATAACAGATTTAACAAATATAAATAAATACAATTGCAAAGTATTTCTTGAGGATTGTAGAAACTTGTGAATAAACTAAAATGAAATTTTCTGCTTAACTAAGGTCATTGGTCATTCAAATATTTTAGGATGTTCTTGGTTGTTGAGAAAATTTCACATTAAATCAATTTATTTCTTAAATAAATTTTATTCCTAAACTTTATGATTGACTATTGAGAATTTAAAAGTGAACAATAATTTTAAGTTATTTGTTCTGACATTAGAACCAAAAATCATGCACAAATTTCTGAGACACTAAAGCACCATCTTTACAAAATTTACAACTAGAGTTTTATTTATACCACTAGGAAGTTGAATTGAAATAGTCAAAAAAATGGTGTATGGATTCAAATAGATAGATGTTATGTTGTGATCTTCATTTCAACTACTGTACCCTTTCAGGATTGGCACATTTGATAAAAGTAAAAACAAATACTTGCTGGCCTTCCTCTGATGCCTGCTATATTTCCTAAGGTAATTACCCAAAAGATCACTTGAATGGAATGTTGACCAATGGTCAAAACTTAGTACTTCCTCTTTGTGGATGCATCAGAGATTAAGGCTGACCCCCACCCCTTTCCTTAAAGGAAGAATCTTCCCTGGGGAGAGAGTGACCTCTAGGACTTGTTAAACAACCCTTATTCTGTCCTCCATGTTAGGAAGTTGTGAATCCCATTGAAACACAGCATATTGATTATACCACATGACTGAGGTATTGTTCCTTATAACCAACAGTTAATATATTCATGGTTATAAGTGAAGATAAAAGCATAATTAAGTAAAGAAATATATTCCAGTGTCAACATTATGAGATGAATGCAGTCTCAAAATTGTGGATTGAACAAAGTGTTCTGTTGTTGGATATAAAGCAGGGTTGAATTTAGGTCTTAGGAGACTCCTGGGCTAATAGGATAGGCATTTTGGGGGTAAAACATGAAACTCTTCAGCTAAAATTATTTCATTAGGAACTTCAACTAAATCAACCAATGTGAGAATAATAGTATTTGAAATTCATGCAAACTAGCAACAAACTTTTTGTTATCAAAATTGACTTGGAATAATGGATGCCTTCACACAGATTTCTAATTTGAATGTTTTCTCTTATTGCAGGATAGTGGCCAACCAGTTATCTGCAGTATTTATTGCCAGTTATTGTAAATCCAAACACACTGAACCCAAACAGACTTCTCAGGGGGAGAAAAGCTAAAAGAAAAGAACTTAAAACTTTACCTATGGGATTGCATTTTAAATTGTAAGCTGTGACTTGTTTACAACAAGATTTGATCAGTTTTATGATCTGAACAATAATTTGAATCCTCCTCATGCAGAAAGAAGTTGACTTAATGTAAGGAAATGAATTTGTCAGTTTCACTTCTCTGGTACTGTTGTATATGCTGCAAATGAAAGCTTCCTACAAGGTAGGCAACCAAACAGATGCCTGTCTACCAAAAATATATTTTCATATATATTTTTTGATCTGAAAGGACCAAATAAAAATACTAATTGTCCAAAACATAGATATGTGTAAATGTATTCCATCAATGTAAAGAAAACCTACTTGTAAATAGTAAGTTTATAATCTTCCTTTACAAAATGTCACTTCAAAGAAGAAACAATTAAACAATTGATAGAAGACCCAAAACATAAGAGTGACGATTTTTCTGGGGGTGTACAATAAGGGGAACCATTATTTGGTTCACTCCACCTTTCAATATAATGGTTAAAACTAAATTAGGGCGTATATTTCTAAACCTCACCAAAAAACATTTCCCCAACCCTGAAACTAACCCACTTAGTAAAATATTTAATCCTAATACCCTTAAATTAAGCTATAGTTGTGCTGATAACCTGGAGATGATAATTAAAAAACATAACAACATAGTCTTTAACAAGTATAGGAATTCAAAAGGCTTGACTACTCAACAGGTTACTAACTGCAATACTAAATATAAGAATACAGATAACAACTTATGTAATTGTAGGAATCCGAATAATTGTCCACTACAAAATAACTGTGGGATTACTTCTGTAGACTATCTTAGTACTATTTCAACAATTGAAAATCCAAGTATAAAGAAGTTTTACATTGGTTCTACCATGAAAACATTCAAGGAACGCTGGCGGGGGCATATGCAATCCTTTAATCACAGTAAATATAATGACTTCATTATCCAAGTATTTTTGGAATCTAAAAGATAAGAACAAAACACCTACGGTTAAATGGAGTCTGGTTAAGAAAGCTCGGACATGTAACTCCCTGTATGCCCCATGTTACCTATTCCTTAATGAAAAATTTGAAATTATTAGATTTAAAAACAAGGCTGATCTCTTAAATCAAAGATATGAACTTACAGTTAATTGTAAACACCGTTATAAATTTAACTTAGTGTAGGGTTGTATACTTTAAATGATAATGATATGTCGCTGTATTTTTAATAGATTAGTATTTTTATTGCATGATGGTCATACTTACGATATAAATGTGTATTGTTTACCTGCATAGTGTTATTAGTGTTGGTGTATATGTGTATATATTTATTTATGTGTTGGTTAGAGTATTTGAACTGAGGAATGTGTAGGTTAGAGTATAAGTGTATTTATAGTTTTTTTTTTTTTATATATGTGTGTGTGTTTGTGTGTGTGTGTTGGTGGGTGGGTGATTGTGTGTATATATATATGTGTGTGTGTGTATATATATATATATATATATATATATAATGTGGGAAGGTATGGTAGATTAGAAGAGAAAAGGTTAATAATTGTTGATGTATATGTGTATGTGTGTGCCTATATGTGTATGTGTGTGTATATGTATGTATATATGTATGTATGTGTATATATATATATATATATATATATATATATATATATATATGTATGTATGTGTGTGTATGTGTATATATATAAATATGTATATGTGTATGTATGATAACATCACGGCGGTATAATGGTTGGCAAGCATAGTTCGCTAGATCAATTGCGACTGAGTAATGAGTTCGTTCCCCACTGGATGCCCCCTAATTTCGGCTTTGTGCCACAATATATTATATTATATGTATATATATGTATGTGTGTGTGTATGTGTGTATGTATATATATATATATCTGTGTGTGTATATATGTATATATCTGTATGTGTCCTATTTTATTGTGTATGTATATTTATATTTAAGTATATTTTGTATAGTTTGTATGAATGTGTTTATATATTTGTATGTTAGGCTATATGTATATTGCTGTGTGTTGGTATTTGAATGTATATTTATGTATCTATATGTTAGTACGTTTATATATGTATTTGGTTGAGTGTTGTATTTTTATGTATGCATGTATATATTGGTAGTTGTTATTGTAGATAGATATATTTATATATATGTTTATTTGTAGATATGTATGTATGTGTATATATATTTATGTATGTTTGTGTATGTATATATATGTGTGTGTTGGCACCTATTATGTATGAGTTTGTTTGTGTGTATGTGTGGGTATGGAAACTTTGGTATATCATGACTGTTTTTATATATGTAAGTATGTGTGCATAAAAATCTGTGTATATATGTGTGTTTAGGTTTATATGTATATGTGTGTGCATGTGTACTTGTTATCATAGATATGTATATGTGTGTATATGTTTATATATTTATTTGTATGTATTTCTGTATGTATATGTATGTATGAGTGTATGTTTATGTGTGTTAATTTGTGTTTGCTGCCGCGTATATATATATATGTATCTGTGGGTTTCTTTATCCTGTTTTTCTTTGCCTAATATATAATGAAACTATTATCAACTTATATGATTAATATATATTTTTATTGATATTTATGGTTTTGGAATTTTCATTTTAATATATTAAATAATATTATTTTTAACCATTTTTATCTTTGTATATTTGCTCCCTTAAGTTATAATTTAATAAGTGGTTAGCATTTATTTAATGATACTTTAAGTCTGAAATATTTATTGGTTGTGATATCTGATTGTCTATGTCATTGTCTGTGGATGTATGTATGTGTATCTATCGGTGTCTATGTGTATGTAGAGTGTATTCACATTTAACTGTGTGTGTGTATAAGTGTTGGTTTCCATGTCTCCTTTTTACATAAAGGGCTGTAGAGATGTTCATGTCTCGCCCCCCTTTTTTTGTGTGTGTTTGTGTGTATGTGGGTGTGTGCGTGTGTGTGTGTGTGTGTGTGTATATCTAATTATGTCTGGGTGCTTATGTATTATAATCTGATTGTGTTTTTGTTGTTTTGCACGTGAGTTTAAGACCACATTCACACACTTTAAAATAAAAAAGGAAAAGAAAGGGAAAAGAAAAAATATATATACATGTATTGTCAAATGACCGGATATATTGTAGCGTCTTGTCGAACGTAATTTCAATGAAGAAATGAATTGAATAAACATATATATTTTTTTCTTTTCTCAATAATTTTGTAGTTTTTAAACTTAATAGTGATTAAATTTGGATTTTAAAATTGCCAGTTTTTAATTTTAATATTAAATTTTATCATATAATTTTATAATTATTGGTTAGTATAAATTATTTTTAATATTACACATATTTTAAAGATCTGAATAGCTATTATAACATGATTTCGTTGTCAAGCTTTTGAATGTTTCTATACTTGGTTTCTGATTGGTTATTCTAGCTTTTGTAACAATGTTTCCCCCTAGTGTAGGATCGTTAATTAATCTGAAACTTTTAAAACCATTTATTTTATTTTCAACATTATCACTTGATAAGACACAGAGTGTGTTGAAACAAAATGGCTATTTTTGTAGTGATTTTATAACATACTTACATTATAATTTTTTTTTTTTTATATAAAAAAAATTATATATATATATATATATATATATATATATATGGATGTCTGTGTAAGTAGCTTGCATATAAATGGGAGTACTATTTTGTTATTTTTATATATATATATATATATATATATATATATATATATATATATATATTGAAATTTTGTTAAAAGCATTCACATCACAAGTAGGATTATTTTTTAAAAAAATGGTTTTATACATTGAGTATATGATTAGAAGAATGAGATAGAAATCCTGCTTCTTTCTTCTCAATGGAAATTTTTGGGATATATCAGATTCTTATGCATTTAGGAATTTTAAAACTGCACCTCTCATTGAGTGCTTACATGGCTTTGAAACTGATCTTCTAAACATAAATGACTTCCCTTTTTATAAAAATATGAGACAGTTTCAGAGGTATTTATATTGTATATTTAAGGATATGAATAAATGCAACCAAATATTTGTTAAATCTGGTAAGACTACAAATTTGTGTTGAAAAAAAAATAACACTACTTCAAGAAATATTGCTGATAAACATAAAAGTCAACAATAGGGTTAGTAAACTCTGTATTAAAGAATGATATATCCTACTTAAAAAATCATCAACCAGATTTTTAGACCAAACTTCCTCTGAGGATCATAAAGCTTACCAGATTGGGAATTGGAAGGATCACCAAAGTTATCCTGGATTGGGTCAACAAACAGATCAAAAAAATGCCTTGGACTTATACATTGGATTGGCACTACAGAAGTCATTAATTGGTTTAGTGGTATTAGTCATAAAAGCAGCTGCACTTTTATCCACTTTTATATAGTAGATTTTTATCGTTTCATCTACAAGGAACTCTTTACTCTGGCTTTGGAATTTGCCAAAGAATATTCAAACAATTCCAGTGAAGAGAAACATAATAATAAACTGTAGGAGATCTGTTCTCATCTAAAATAAAGAACAGTGGGTTAAGAACTCTGATGATTACTTTGATATTTCAATGGGATCATTAGATTCTGTAGAGTCTTCTGATCTGGTGGGTTTATTTATTTTATATAACCTCATTGCCTATGAAGATGTCAATGTTGATAGTATAGCGTTATATACACGTGATGGTCTTATGTTAGTAAAAAATTCCACTAAAATTAAAAATGATTCATAGGGAACTAAAAAGATTAAATCTTAAGGTTAAGATAAATACTAATGTTAAGCAAGTACAGCTTGATGTTCCATTAGATCTTGTTAATGATATATTTCAAACTGATATGAAATATAATGCCACCCTCCACCTGTAATCCAACATATACCTTTGTCTGTAGAACGTAAGATTAGCAACCACTCCTCAAAGATGTGTTTGTTAAATATAGTGGTGTGTATAATAAAGTTTTAAAGA